CCCAAGCCTCATAAATTGCCTTCTTGAGCACGAGAATACTCGTGCTCCTCTTCGCATGCTCTTTGCGAATACACGTGTTGTTCTGCCCCCAGTACACGGATTTCTGCTTTTCCAACCCTTTGTCAAGTCAGCTGCGGAATCTAACTCTTCTCAAATGCCCCATTTTCCGAGAGCATTAATTATGAGTAATTAATGTTTGCCTTTGAGATTACTTTCAAATGTGGCATAAAAGATGCAGCGTTCTAGAACTCAGGCTCTTTGAACGTGGTTTGAAATGGCTTTGGTCTGGGTTTCGGCTGGCGTTTTCAACGGAGCCCAAGGGAACTGGGTACAGCAGGTGAGAGTCTCCTTTCTTCCAGTGCCTCGGAAAATGACAGTTCTTGGTCGATTCCATGCGAAGAAGCCCCGTTAGCAAATTTTGCGAAGGCTTAGGACTTTTATTTCTTTCTCCTTTTCTTTTAGACCGAGAGAGTGCCGCTTGAACTCAACTCCAGACTGGAAGAAATGGTAGAATTCAGCGAAATGGAAGCAGAGCCGAGCGAGGCAGATTTTGAGGCCAGGGGAAGCCGCTTTTCCAAGTCTGCGGATGAGAGGCAACGGATGCTGGTTCAGCGGAAGGAGGACTTGTTGCAGCAAGCTCGAAAGTATGTTCCTTCCCAAAACTCTGGGGATACGACACCTTGTAAGAGTTTGTTTGTAAATAGGCTTGCTCCTGGAATATTTTTCCCTTGATATTTGAAAAATGTCATTTCGAGGCACAAAAGCATTTTTTACTTCCCTCTTCAGCGTTTCTCTTCCTGCGTCGAAGAGCTGTGGAACTGCAAACGGCCGCGTTTTGTCAAAAATTGATCAGGAGGTGGGGTTCTGCTCACCCCTCTTTTCCTTTTTCCCCTCCTGCAGGCGTTACTTAAACAAAACCTCCGACGAGGAGCTGACCGCCGAGAAGCCCTCTCCCCCGCTTGAGGGAGAGTACGCCGACACCGTCTTTTTCGCCCCCCCGGCCCCCCCGGACTCCCGCGCCCGCTGCCGAACGGAGACTTCAGATGCAGCAGAACTCCTAGCGCCCGCCGCCCCTCCCTCCTCTTCGTGAGCAGTGCTCAATAAATAAATGAAATACAAACAAGCGAAACAAAACAAAAACCCCTGCGCTTTCTATACCAGCAGGAAAGTGTCTTCGGAGTTGAGCTGGCTGCGCTGCCGAGCGAGCC